ACACAGGGTGTCCGGGTGTACGGGTGTACGGTTGTACGGTTGTACGAGTCTGGTTTGGCCACCCGTTGCAACATCGTCGACCCACTTAACGTTATCCAACTTTGCTGATCCGACAAGAACATATGCGCGCCGGATTTGGCACGAAACTCAGCTAGGAATTATTCAATGGATCGCACTTTGTGCCACTCGACCCTCATCACCGAGACTACCCGTTACCCCTTACCAATTTCCATGTGTCTTTATAACTTGTATTGCTCCTTCTATATACCTTTGTTGTTATTGTTGTTGTTTATGTTCCTTGTTACGGTAATTAAAAATACTTTTTGTTGCTCAATAACTCTTTTTTTTTTCTTTTTCTTTTTTACATTTTTTCAACTTGTTGCTGTTGTCGTCATCGAGAAAAAATAAATTTATACCTACGTGTCTTATCATTTTTTTCGCTAAACTGTGGTCACGTCTGAAATTGCTGTCAATGAGAAATAATGAAAAAAAAAAAAAAAAATAAACAATAAATAAAAGCAACGTTGCAAGTATAAAGAATCTTTATAAATGTAAATTTAAAAGAATAATAAATAAAATAAAAATATAAGAAATAGTTGAAGAGGTTTATTATATTACCTTTCGTAACTTACAGACAGTGTGAGAAAAGCGTACATTAATAATGTACCAGTACTCTAGTGAGGTAAAATTATTTCGCAAAATTTTCCCCCACTCATCCCCTCTTTTCATTAATAATAATATTGAAATATTATTTTAAAATAGTTTCATCCGCATTCCCATACTCACATATATTTAACTTAAGAGCCAAACTATATACTCTTGATAAAATGTATCAAGAATGCAATACACTTGTTGTTGTTATTATTATTATTATTATTATTATTATTATATTAACTAACTAACTAAGAAGAATGATCTGGCAAAACTCTCTTACACATTTAATATTATAATTCCAATTATAATATTATGTGCAGTTAAAAATAAACAAGAAATACTTTCGTTTACCGAGGCTATAAATTTAACAATTTAGTTAATATACTTTCTTTTATTTACTTATATTATTATTACTTATTATTATGTATGTAATATTTTTAACTAAAAATAAAATGATGATCAACAGTGATGTTAATCCCATATTACATTATAAACAGCAGCAATATAATAGTAATAATAATAATTTTAATTTTAATTATAATCATAAGCAAGAGCAAGAGCAAGAGCAAGAGCAAGAGCAAGAGGAATAACAGAGGAACGGATACTTAACCGAGCAATAGTTGTTATGAAACGTCGCTTACTTCGTACAAAGTACACGCTATTTCACCGTAACTGCGAGAAATCAGTTAACAGATGCATCGCGTGCTAAGTCTTTCAAGTAGTAGGAGATCACCATGCCAAATACGCGAATATAACCAAATAGTTTGCTAACCTTCTCATTTTCCACAACAACAACAACAACAACATTGATTGTAATTATTAATGTCAATTTACAACTGACCAACTATTATGGGTATTATTTAATAATAACAATAATTATGACATAGATTGGTAGGTATATTGTAGTGTAATTACGAAAATTAATTAGTCCGTGACCACACCAACTCACCAATAAGTAAACACCACTAAAGTAGTTGAGTAGATAAACCAGGTAGCAACATTGATGTTGTAAATAATAGTTTTGCATATTAACATTATTTCATCAATATTTTATTCATTATTTATATATGATTAATAAAGATAATTAAATGTACGACGTTTGTCAATTTAGTGACTACTAATTAATATCAGCCAAGTGTAACCACCATAATTAAATGTGATTTATAATAATTACACTTTACTATTGTTTACTCTATATATATATATATATTTATATCTTTACTCTTATTATACTTAATGCGTATTACAAGATTACAAGACCCTTTTTTTCCGACACATTACGAATTACGACTCTTTGTTTAATAATAATAATAATCCAAATTGTGAAAAATTTTAAATTTTATTTTACATTTATTGTCTAGTTCTTTGCCATAAAACTAATTAAAAAATACTTATGCAATACAAACAATATAGATTTATTAAAACCTTGATCATTATTTACTAATTAAATTTAAAAATATATTAAAAAAAAAAAAAAAAAAAAAAAAAAAAAAAAGTAGGTTAAAGATATAGAATAAAAATTTGTTTAATAAAAAACTTAAAAATAAAGTACAAGTGAATATAACTTATTTAATGTTTGTTGGTATTAAATAAATAAAATAAATAAAAAATATAATAATTTAAAGTAAATGGTGGTAAATAAGTATATAGGTAACTGCTGAGTTATTTGACCCTCGAGAAGCATTGAAAGGTCAACTCTGTCGTTGTCTGGCTCGTTTTGTTACTCTCGTGACGATGATGGTAGTTTTACGGAATAGTAAAAGAAGAGAACGAAAGGAACGAAGAAAGAAAAAAAAAGGAATAGTACGGGAAAACGTTTAAGGGGAAAAGTTGTCGGTAAAGAACGAATAGAAAAGAGGAAGGAAACTATAGAGGGTAACTCGTAGGGTATAATCGTAGACGCTGTGAGATCTCAACAGAGCAAGCATATCCGGAAAGTAGTACAGAAAGAACTGAGTGTGCCAAGGGAAAAAGAGAGTTCAAGTTAACTTGGATAGATGAGAGAATGAGTAAAAGTAAGAAGATGAAAAGAATAAAAAATAAAATAAAAAAATGCCAATGAAATTGCGATAGCGATAGCACTTATAACTTACGTATATAAAACGAGCAAACGAGATTCCATCTAGATGGTCACCGCTATCACACTTTTACTTAGATAATATTTTATTTATATATATATATATATATATATATGATTATGTATAATATATATAGTTTATCGTGACTTTCGACAACACTTTTTTTTTGTTGTTATTGTTATTATTATTATTATTATTATTCACAATATTTTTAATAATTAATTTCAAGGTTATTTAAAAGCATGAGCTTAAATAAACTGCATAAGTAGGTTAGAAATAGACTCTGATTAACTTTCTATTGTATTCTATTCTATTCTAGTCTGTCTACTGAGAATTAACGGTTTAGTTAGGTGGTTGCAGCTTGTACGGTAACCGTAAAAAGATAGAAAAAAAAACAAATACGAAAAAGAAAAAGAAAAAGAGAGTAAACCGATTAACTTTGAATCACACCGCGGTATATACCGTTTGATATTATCTGGTTGCTTATAAATTTGACGCTTCTCTGTGTTTCTTATTCCTTACAGCTTATAGCACTATACGTACTGTACTCATTAGTATTACTTTTTATTATCTCTTAAAGGATTTATTGCTCAACCATCGTCCAGAGTATAATTTAATTTTCATTTCGTAATGAATAACAGAAACATCAGTATAACAAACGTAACTACAACAGAAACAACAAAAACAACTGGTTAACAAATATAAGGGTCCTGTTTAATTTTGATATCAGAAACCGAGCACCGAATAAACATTACAAGAGCCAGCCATCCACCGCATAATTAAATAACGTAATACTCACCAAATGTATTAACCGAAGCATAACCACCATTTATTTAACATTTACTATACTTATTCCTATTATTTCACATTTATCTTTACCTTTATCTGCATTCTGTTTACATAAAAAAATAAAAAAAAATAAAAAAACAAATTTATTTTTATTATTTATTTTATAAACATCTAAAATTAATCTCTCAAAAGATTATAATAAAATTCAAAAAATAATGAGTGATAAAATAAATATTTAACAATTATTTATATAAATAGATGAGAGTAATGATCCAGAGATTATTTGATTAAGTATTATATATGTATGAGGTATGAGGTATGAGGAAGAGCAATCACACGCAATCAAATACAAGTTAATAAGATAAATATATACATACATCCATGTATTAAATGTATTAAATGTATAGTGTTGCTGCGGGTGGTAGTTTCAGTACAAGACTCGTTTAATTAACTTTCAATTACCCAATTAGTTTTTAGTTTATAAAGAAATAAAACAAAGTTATTATTGTTATTATTACAAAAATAAAAAAAAAAAAACATACGATAAAGAATCCACATGCAGAGAGACTCATATCAGAGTCGCAGAGAGATAATAAAAATAAAAATAAAAATAAAGATAAAGATAAAGGATGAGAATAAGAATCAGAATCAGAATCCAGAAGAAGAATAAAGATAAGAAGAAGAAGAAGAAGAAGCAAGCGCATTATTTTATTGCACGAGTATTGTGGGTTCTCCCACGCTGTGAGGTAACAAGCTTTCTCCATGTGAGTGAGACACTAATGTGTAACATAACTTTGTTAGTTGGTTGGTCGATCGTCTCAATCTTTTATAGTTTTACTTTATTATACTGCTTCCGAAATCATCAAGTCATGAAATCATGAAATCATAACAATAGACTGAGAATAAGTAAGAGGACAAGTATTTTAATTCACACTCATCTCGTGATCTCTTTAATTTTAATCCTTACTTTTTACGTGCACATATATATATTTAAAATGTAAAACTCCTCCTACTTTAGTGTGTCATCTGAATTCTGGGAGCCTCTTTTACTCTCAATCTCTAGTAATCTAGTAATCTAAACTGTTATTATGTACATTTTTTTTTCCAAGTGGTGGGTTGTGTTTAAAACGAGTGCATATGGATATATACATTGAGATGTCTGAATGGTTGATTCCTCCACGGTATAACATATATAGGATATAAGAGATCTTACACATAATACTAAACAAAACTACTAAAGTGAGGTGAGGTGAGCTCATTTTACTTTACCTCACTTCACCTCACCTGATCTCATCCACCAATTCACCCGCACGTGTAAGTGTGTGTGTGTGTGTGTGTGTATGCAGCACAACAGTAGAACAGTACAACTCGCGTGTAATCCAGACAGGAAGCGAGTTACAGTGCAAGTTAAGCCGCTTGTATAAAAGCCCCGTTGAGATCTCACAAATCTCCACAATTCAACTTTGATCCGGTGCTGATATGTGCATCAAAAATATGAACACTGTTGTGCGACAGGTAACTACCGAGTCGCTTTATTTTTATTATAATACTTTTATACTATTTATTTTATATTAATTATTTTATCGATATTTTTCATTCTCGGTAATATTATTATTCAAAGTGATATATTATTAATATTATTTTTTTTTTCTTTTTTCTATACGCGAATATGTGAAATTAAGATTTGCTCAGTGAATTTGTGATTTACATTCTATTTGTTAATGACTATTATTTCATTTTCAATCTCATTAATTATATTTTTTATTCTGAATTACTATTATTAATAGGATTTATGTGGAGTAATATTAAAATATAAGCAAATCTCGTGGGTTTATTATAATGTGATATTATTGCTTTAATATATACAAGTATTAAAGAGTTGAAATTTATTTTTGAGATTATTTCACGGTGGTGATGAGCTGATGAGTATACAAATTTTAATTAATATAATTATATATACTTTTAGATCTTGGAATTTAGAGTAAAAATGTGGCCAAGATAAAATAATATTTTTAAATTTGATATTGAATAAAATTTTCATAAAAAGTGTAATGAAATATTTAATCTGAATTCCAACGTGTGTTTTAAATTATTCGAGCATAGATACAGAGTTACTTTTTATGAATTTTTAACGAAAAATTATTATTATTAAATTGAATATTAAATTAGTTATTGGAGGTAGTAAATTTGAATAAAGCTGTGCGTATCAGTTTATAAAAACATAAATTTTGGTGTATAAAGATGAGCTAAAATTTTGTACTCTATATATATTTATTCAGAATATCAAGTAAATAATGTTTATTCTGTGTAATAGATAACGGTGACGGTGACGTTGACATTGGTGAGCAGTCTAGGGATAGTTTACTGTGAGCCAGAACCACCATTGAGTAACCAGTATGGTGTTCCTGGAAATTTCCCGGTAACCAACAATCACCAATCTCAGGGAGGCATAATAAATAGCTACGGCGCTCCACTGGGACAATCATCTCCTGATGGCAATACTCATCACGATGACCATCAGGATTACATCGACAGTCAGGTATATATATATATTCATATGCTGACCAATAAACCTCTAACTCGATCACTGAAACAATAATTGCTTCATACACCCCCCCCCCTTGTGCTTCATTCACTAATTAATCACTTAAACGCTTGATGAATTATTTATATATATATATTTGAATATATTTGACTATATACGACCGTATATATTATATAATTAATTGCTGATAATAAATATTTTTAGCCAAAATCATACGAGTTTGGATATGCAGTTAAAGATTCAGCAACAGGGAATGATTTTGGACGACAAGAGACCAGTGACGGTGAAACGGTACGTGGAGAGTATCGGGTACAACTTCCGGACGGAAGAACTCAGATAGTCACGTATACGGCTGATTGGCGAACTGGATTCCATGCGGATGTTAGATACGAGGGTGAAGCTACTTATCCAGATCAATACAATACTGGTTATAACAATAATAATAATAATAATAATAATATTAACAACAACAACAACAACAACAACCTCGGCTACAATAATAACAACAATAATTTTAATAATCCTGGATACAATAATAATTACAATAATCAAAATAACTATCAAAGAGGTAATTATTAATTATTTGTAATTATAAATTATTTATAATATTTAAAATGATAAAAATTTAGGTTACGATTACAATCCTGGTAATCAACAAGGAGCATTCAACAACAACTATCAATTTGGCTCCCAGGGAAATCAATACAATAATAATGGTTACTCTGGAAGTAGTAATACCTTTGGATCTGCTCAAGTACCACCACGACCAACCTACGGTACACCGCAGTATCACTAAATAAAACACTTAATAACTCTTGATCGATACTTAATTTACTGGTATCGGTTAATACTTCTAAAGGGAGCTCAAATTTCGTGGTGACAGAGGACAACCACCACGAGGTTTATTGATTTATTCCTCGTGGTAATGGCAAATTTATTTTGAGGTACCAAGGGGAAAAACTACAAGTGACAAACCATATATATTATTTTTTTCATTTTTTCATTTTTTTTTTTTTGCTCTCAACTGTATATAACATGATAAAATGAGCCAGTTTATTTTTTCGTTATAATACTATTTTTTTATTATTATTATTATTATTATTATCCCTAAAGGATAACATTGATATATAGTTATTTTTATATCTTATTATATATTGTTGTCCTAATATCATGTACAGACTTATTATATATTATAATATAAATTTATTTTTTTGTAAATGATGTTATTATTATTATTTTTTTATATTTATTGATAAAATAGAAATAATTTATGAGAGAAATAAATAATAATTAAAGTTTTGATAAAAGTAAAAAATAGAGAAGAAATCGGATAAAGGGTTCTTACAAAATAAAGTAAAGTAAAGTAATAGTAATTTATAGCAAGAAAAATAGGTAGTCTCGAAAGACAGTACCCGGTTTTGTATCTTGATTATGTTATAAAAATAAAAGTACCGCAGTATATAGATATACGTGAGTAAAGATAATAGAAAAGGGAGGAGAGAAAAATAATAATAATAAAAATAAAATAGCAGTGAAAAAGGTTTCAAAAAGATGAGGAAAAAAAAAAAAGAAAAAAAAACGTAGAATGATAAAAACTAAAAGAGTTTACTTTCGTCATGGTATCTCATAAATGCGTTCATGTCTTATACGTCCATTTAAAAGTTTTCCTGAGCACGGGTCTTGTAATTTATTGCTAGGAAAATCACCAGCAGTATAGCCATAGAAACTATAGTATAACTCCATAGTGTACCGGTAATGCAAGTGACCATCACATCTCGTTTTGTGGTCATACCAACATATCAACATAACAAAAGGTATCCCACATATCGTTCCTAGTTTGATGATAGAGATTACTCTAGGTCATTTTAACAAAATAGTATATACTAGATACATATTAGATGATACCAGAGACATTGTTGCTGCTGCTGCTGCTACTGCTGCTGCTTTAGAATAACAACAATTTAAAAATTTATCAAAAGAGTATGCCGTCGACCGATAAAATCGTAATTTTATATTCATGAGACAACCATGACAATGACTTTATTATTATATTATCATATTATAAACTAGAAAATAATATATAATAATAATAAACAAGGAAAGTTTTATAGGATCAGGTAAATATGATATGTATAGTCATTAATTGCACAATTAAGTCAGCATTATCGGCATCATCATTATAATAATGATTAGATGGAGGATAATTTTACACCATATAGATATAATTATATTTTATATAGAATGTATATGTAAATAATGTGTATATATATATAAACGGATGAAAACTAATCTCCTGACATGTAATCCTCTGGAGCACTTGCATAATTTCGGGATTGGTACCACCTATTAAAGCAAAATTAGCTAATACATTTGCGTTAACTCATTGCAGCCATGAATGGTAATATAGCGCGGCCCACTATCGAGGAAAATTTATTTAGTTTGTGTATTGTTATTGTTGTTGTTGTTGTAGTAGTAGCTGCTAATCTCAATTATAGTATGATATGGTTATGGTAATATTTTTCGATAGAGTCTATACTAGATACTATTTACTATATATATATAATTAAGCAATAGAATATTATATATCGTTAATCGGAGTAAAGGCACAACTACAAACTCGAGATTTATGATGATTATGATAGATTGATCAGATCCACTGGTTTCTACGATAATAATATCTCATAAATTTACGATTCCATCACTTTAATTTACAACTACCAATAACCTAAACGATAAACTATATTTACAGTTAAACGCTTCTACCCATATATACACTCTATTATTATTTCAAAGATTATTTGATCCGGTTACTTCAAGCTCATTTGTACGTTTACATCATCAATTGTGTATCAAGATATACTGCTGCTTCTGCTTCTGCTCTTAAATTGTTATTAACGTAATTTCTATTTATCCTATATTCCTTTCTCTTTTCAATTTCATGATTTTTATTAGTTAATAAGAGTTATTAGATATTTCTATTATACTAATTTATTATTACCATCTATTCAATTAAAATGTCGAATAAATTTAATTTTTGTATCATTTTTATTTAATTAACAATTAATAGACCGCGGTACACTTAATATAATAATAATAATAATAAGTTAATTTAATTAAAAAAATCACATAGTTGAATTTTAACTTTGATCTGCTCGCACATAAAAAAGTTGCAGATTTTATTTAGTTAAGTTAGAGCATTCATTCATTCGTTTGATTTGCATCAAAGTGTTAAACTTTTTTATTGATTTTCATTTAAATATCAAAGTAAAAATTATACAAATTTTCAAGTATACGTTATATTTGCTAAACACTCGAGTAAAAATAAAATAAAATTACGTAGAAGTAGAAATGTTTTTTTAAAAAATAATATATTTATATTATTTATGATGTTTAAAGTTAATTATGCCAAAAGGGAAATTACGACCCTTTAAAAACAAAGTTTAAAACTCATTTTGAGGGTTGATAAATCATCTTTATCTAAAGTTTAAAGTTTATTAAGAGCTTTTAATAATACATTTTTTTATATTATTATCGAATAATTTTATTTTTCAACTCACTGATTTATTATGTTAAAATATTTTTTGTATGATAAAAATAATTGTTTAGTTTAATTATAAAAAATATATAAAACAAATAATTAAAAAATTAAATTAAGTTTTATTCATTTTCTCCTCATTAACAACAAGTAGTAAAAATATATAATTATATAATTAATAATTATATTGTATGTATATATATATATATATAAATAAAAAACTTATATACTTTGGCATGTACCTTTTTGGTCTCTAATTATTCTCTACTTTGTGTTAAACTTACTTTAATTATAACTTATAAACATTTAGTACGTGCAAAGGAAATTAATATTCATAATATTCCCTTTGCTAAATTTTAATTACCATGCACAAAGTTAATTTTATCTCGTTGTTCTCTTTGTAATAATAAGAATAATAATAATAATAATAATAATAATAACAACATCAAATATATAATTGTATAAATACCTAAAATTTGTTAAATTTTGTATATTAAATATATAAGTCAAATTAAAAGGATCTTTATTATGTCTTTACCACTTGACATGTTGACTCAAATTAAATATAAACTATCCTAACTTATACAACATCACCAATTCTGTTTTAATAAAAATATATAACTTTTATGTTTAAATTAAATTAAACACATATAATAATATTAATATATAAAAAAGCAAAGTTTGAACTTTAATAAATTCTAAACTTCTTGAGAGTCGCTGTAAATATAATCCATTTACATACACTTAAACTTTTTGTCATATCATTTAAATATTGTTAAAACACTTAAAAACTTTTAGATAAACATATATTTATATATTTTATGCTTCATTACTTTTTTATTATTTACCTAGTAACTATTTTTATTTAAACTATACTTGTAAAATGAAAATAGTTTAATAATGTGTAAGCCAAATGTATAAAATTTATTATGTCCGCAGTGATAAATGTAAATATTTTAAATGAAATTTTTTATCCTGACTCTGTTAATAATCAGTTTAGATAGTGTGAAAGCTTATTTAATTTTGTCCCTTGTTAATTTTACTGTTTTCATATCCGGATCATCTTTATAATTTTTTTTTTTTTAAATTAAATAACGTCTAAATATTACAACAGTTATATAAGTACTTGTATAGAAAGTAATTGTTTTATTTTTAAAATCTCATGCTGAATTTTATTTGTTATAAAAATCAATAATAACAATAACAAACCAACGTGCTGTATCAAATTGGAATATTTGTAGAATAAATACATAAACAAATATAAAAATTTTAGTTAAAAATAAAATATAACATACTCGTTTTGTTAAACTCTTTTATTAAATGTCGAACTTGAATACAGTTTGTTATTAAATTTATAAATTTTAATTTGTTAAAAAAATATAAAAGTCCATTTAAATTGCAAGTTAAATTAATAAAGTTTTACATTCTATAAATATTGCTTTATTAAAAAGTCCTGTCGTGATAAAATTTTTATAATAATAGGATAAAAATAATGAACAAATTATTGTCTGTTTCGTGTCCTATAATAATAATAATAATAATAATTTAAAAACAATAGTGATGGTTTAATGGTTAATCGGTTGATTTGCACGTGATGCTGGTATAACTAGGTATAAGTAGGTGCAGTTTTGTTTGTGCCTGATAAATATATATTTGCGTGATAGGTGGGAGCACGCACGTGCTATCAATTAAAAACCTTTAACCGTCTGTGTAAACGTCAAATCGACGGAGACTGGGTATAATGATTATGCTCATCATATGAGTAGTATTGGTTAGTGAAGGGAAGATCACTATTTCATATTTTTTTTTTCCCTGCATATATACACACACATTTACTAGAATTTATTAAGATTTATATTATCCCTGTTGTAAAAAATAATAATTATTTGTTGTTGTATCTGTTGTAAATTTGCCTCATCTTCATCCTCTTCATCCTCTTCATCATCATAATAATAGTTTTTACTCAATACACACAATATTCTGATAAATTGTAACGATACTTATGCTCTCGAGAGTACTGAGTATATATAAGCATCGCTATTTATTATTTTCTCACAGTTCTTAAGAGGTTCTCTTCAACAATATGACTTACTTATTACAGGTTTGTTTTATTTAATAATAAACTTTTTTATTTATTTTTTGTTTTTCATTGATTTTATTGTTTATTGTTTTGATAAAATTACGATCAAATTATAGTTAAGTGGTGTGATTAGAAATACTGAAATAAATAATATAAAAATCTTTGGAGAAGATTATTTTACGTGTGATCCGAAAAAGCGCAGAAATTTATCGAAATCGCACAGACACAGAGAAAGAGTAACAAAAGTAGCCTAGGAATCTGGTAGAGATACGAACCAATCGTTTGTCATTCACTTCGTGAAACGAATACCGTTTACTAAAGCGTTAGAATCTTTTAGAGATTCGTGCTGCTACAGAACTCATCCACGAACAACCGAAACTGCTGCGCTTTTTTTTTTTTCTTCTTCTTCTTCTTCTATCTCTCTCTCTATCTACTTCTTTTTTCTCCATCGGGAGAAATTGGTGAAACACGTGACTACTCTTTTTCACTCGTTTTAAGTAGATAGCTGCAATTTATTTGTTCAGAAAAAAAAAAAAAAATTAGAAAAAGAAACAATCCAAAAAATATTCTTAACCTGTCTATTGGGATTTAAAAGTTTAATCTACAGTAGAGCTTTTATTTAAGATAGGTATATAAAACTAAAAGTATATAAGTTGTTATTTTTTATGATTTACTGCTTTGGCAGCTTACTGGTAGGATCCTACTGGCGCTTTGTTGCGTCAGAACAGCAACTGTTTACGCGGGATTGTTGCCAGAGGCTGTTAGCAACGGTTACCAATACAACAGACCAACAGCACCAGGAACAACAACATTTGATGAAGGAGCTTTTACAGATCCAACTGGAGTCGGTGATTATTCTAACAGAGGAAACAATGGATATCCCAGAGACAGTCCATCTGAACGTTTGACATTACCACCCTTTACAACAACGAAAACAACACCAACTATTAATTTTGCCAGTGGCAGTGATAGTGATGGTGATAGTGATAGTGGTAATTTCAGTGATAGTGCTACTGGAAGTGTTAATGCATTGGAGTTTGGAAGACGATCTGGCAATAACTACAGGGGAGAACCGGGATTTAAAAACGATTTTTCGAGAGGTATCGGATACAATCAACCAACTCGAGCTAATACCTTCGATCTTCCTAATGGATACAATGACATTCCAAGTTACCAGGGTACAAGAAATTTTCCCCCTCCTCTTCCTATTCCTTCTGGTAACAACGAAATCACTGATCCTTATCGTAATCAGAACAATCTAAATGACAACCGAGTAAGTAATTGTTTTTATCATTATTATTTTCATAATAATTAAATTTATATTTAAAAAAAAAAAAACAATACGATAAAACTGATTGAATTTTTTCATGTGCATTGATATGCATAACGAACCAATGAACACGGATAACGGTGATTTATGTTGTATTAAAATTTTAAGTATAAAAATATTTTATTTTTAATAGCCAGATATAAAGGATTAAAAAGGGACTAAATAGTACATATGGGAGTATAGAAAATCGGAAATATAGAAAAAAAAAAAAGTATTTGTGTGTATAACAAGATATTTTTTGATAAACTAATATTAATGACATGTTTATCGAAGCGCATATCGGAATAGCCAGTGAATCGTGATAATATTTGAATCGTTCAACAAATCGTCCAATACAACATAAAACGTATGATACCATGCATATATATATATTATATAGTGTCGGTTGTTAAGTCCCAGGGGATGATGATGGTACATAAGCTGCCATTGGGGTGTCCGACAACGACACGATCAATTCGAATCGAATCCAATGGAATCGAATCGAATTTAAAGTATATCAAGTGAAGAGAAAAGACCTTTCTGTCCTTTCTATTGTTCATTGTTCATTGTTCACTCTTTCACTAAAAATTCACTCCTATATATATATACATATATTGTATACAGACTACCTACATAGATAAGGTACACTTTTTTAGAGCTTACCACAGGATTCTTTCAAAATATTTTTTATTTTTATATTTTTACATTTTTTTTGTTTTTTTTTTTTTTTTTTTTTTATATATATCACAATAACAGCCTCGGCCTTACAACTTTCAATACCGAGTATTTGATCCACCGAGTGGGAACGATTACGGACAGCAGGAGTCCAGCGATGGAAATGTTGTCCGAGGAGAATATCGAGTTCTTTTACCAGACTCGAGGACACAAATCGTTAAATATACGGCAGACGACGCTAACGGATACAACGCAGACGTACAATACGAGGGTCAAGTACAATATCCCAACGGATTTTTTCCTGGAACTGGAACTGGAACTGGAATTGGAACTGGAAGTTTTCCGGATACTTCAGTAGGCTATAAATTTCCGGGTTCAGATTCTGAGGGTCCTTATCAACCCATCGATTTTTCTAGTGTTACTCCCTATCAAGGTCAGTGTGTCATCTTCTTAAACTTATCATCTTATTTACAATATATATTACTTTATTGATCTATAAAAAAACAAATCCCTATTTTCCCATAAAATTTTTATCACATTATTTACTACACAGAATAATTGCTACGTTACTTATGAAACTTATAAATTTTATAACAATAAAAAAATTATTTTCTCACTTATTGCCAAAGTTATAAAAATTGTTTTATATTTTGCTATAATCTACTCTATATTTTAAAGTAGATATTGAAACAAAAAGTGTGCTTTTAAAAATGTGAATCGAAAAATCCAATTAACCCAAAAAAATGACTTTTAAATGAGTAAAAAAAAATTTTGAAAGTTTTAGTATAAATAAATAAATAAGATAGATTCTGTAATGATGACATGCAATCCAACGTAGTTGATTGGTGCGTGAAAATAGTTGAAAGTAACTACATCATGTACGCATCCTTTTCCTCTTGACAGATGTCATATTTCTAAAAAATATTCACATTCATAGCATACAAGTTCACCTACATGTTCATAATACACACTCTATATAATACCTACATTACAAACAGAATAAAAAATATATATGTATAAATAAATAAAAAAAAAAAAAAAAAAAAAAAAAAATAAAAAAATAAAAAAAATAAAAGTAACCGAAAAAAATGTCGCATCATAAATATAAATGCGATTTTATGTTGGATGACAGGTAGAGGAGTTCCTGGAGATATAAGAGGTGGCAATCCAAGAGTTGATGGTATTAGAGAAGGAGGAAGAGGACGAGGAGGAATCGGTGGTGGAGTTGTTGCTAGTGGTGGCGGTGGTGCTGGTGGTAGTGGGTATAACAGAGGACCCACTGGAAATAACGGCATCTTTAGTAGTACCGGCGGTGGCGGTATTCGGGGTATTGGCGGTGTTGGCAGTGTTGCCGTAGGCGCTGGTCCTGGGAATCAATACTTACCTCCTGGCGGTGGATTTGGCAAATGATCATCTAAACCAATACAACTTTCATCATCATTCCTTAAATTAATTTTTTTATTAATGAAAAAAAAAAAAATAGTATTGTTTTAGTAATGATAATCCAGCTAAGGTGTTAAGTGGTTGATTATTATTTTTATTCCTGTTATTTCTTCTGCTTAAACTTTTTTTAAATACATAAATATATTATTAATTATTATACATTTATGTAATTTTGTACAAGATTATTATTTATACAATGAATAAAATTTTTTGTACTGCGTTGTTAATAAAAAATTTAAATGAGCTTAAATATTATTTTTTAATTAATGTAAAAGTTTGAAATATGATGTTTTCTGTGTAATTAGTAACTTTATATAATACATTATAACCCAAATTATATGTTTTTTGTTTTATATAAGCACAATTATTATATATATATATATATATATAGTATAGTTGTTGTAGGTACAACATTTGTATTAAGTAACTAGCAGTGAGAGAATTATTATTGGTAGAATTGTGGAGTAAGGACTAAGACAAAGAAAAATATACGAGGATGAATAAGTGATAAGAGCATTTATATATTTGTGAGTAGTGCTTATACATATATATGTTTAGAGAAGTAATATCAAGAGTGGATACTTATCATTGTCAAAATGAATTGGTCGTTAAACTAAACAAACAATGATGTGGGGTAACTTGCACTACAATTTCAACAGTATAATAGTAATAATAATAATAATAATAATAATAACAACAACTAAACTAAATAGTGAATAGTTAATAGTTGTTTATAATAAACAATGTACTTAATGCATTTACATTTATTTATATGTATACAAAATAACTATAACACGCTATATATAACGCTATGAATAGAACGGTTAAACCATTTAAAATGACCGTAATTTGTTTGAAACGTGTGATAAGCCAAAACCATTTCTTGTCTCTCCTTTGTTACCAATTTATATGGTTAACAAGAAAGGGTAGGCAGACGACAGACGACGCGATGTTGGAAGGTTGGAACTGACCGGTGGCCGGCCACTATACCCACAATAATTACAATCCACATTACTAAATTACTAAACTAAACGATATTCCACTTAGACTCTGTTCTATATTATGCGTATAAATATATGTATATATATATATATATATATATATATATATATATATATATATATATA